GCCCTTCTTTACGGCAGCGAATGTTGGACGATTTCCTCAAAGATAAAGAAGAGACTCGAGGCGACAGAGATGTGGTTCTACAGAAGGATGCTGAGGATATCATGGACCGAGCGTGTGAGCAACGATGAGGTCTTAGAGAGGATGCAAACAAGGAGGAGGCTTATACTTAACATCAGGAAGAGGCAGCTGAAGTTCCTGGGACACATAATGAGGAAGGAGGGCCTGGAGAATCTGATACTCACGGGTCGAATAGAGGGGAAAGAGACAAAGGAAAACAACACGTGACATACCTGGCGGACTCAAGCAAGTGGATGACAGGACGTGGTCTGGAGGAGGAAGCAGAGGGATAGAGGGAGGTAGCGAGCCATGATCGCCTACGTCCTGAAAGGACAAGGCATAAAAACTGAAAAAAGATTTCTGACGGTATATAAACGTTATTTTTTGAAAAAAAAGAAAATTATAAAGTCAAAAATCAATCAGATCAAACATAAAATTATTTTGATTAAACTTGTGTTGTGTCGGATACCTACCATCTATTAATTTTTGAAGATGAACTTGTCTGCGTCTGTTAACAAATAACTTTAAATAGTGGCATGTCAAATACATGGAAAAGACAGATAGACAGAGATAAAAATAAGACCTCCGAGTCTAGCTGAATAAAAATAATACAGTCTTTGACTGTAAGCGACGTCTTTCAAACTTTCTAAATAACGCAGAGAGGAACCCGGACGAAGCTTTTCTCTTGTGCCATATTTCAATCCTCGTGGGTGGATCGATAAATACTAAGACAGATAGACAGAGAAGTTCTTAGCTTAGCTGATCTGTTATTGACTACTCAGGCGATTTCTGTACCTTTTAAAACCTATTAAAACCCGTTTTATTGTTAAAAAAAATTTTTTTCCTTGTCTCTACTAACCCCAAATCAACATCATAACAACTTGATATGTTCAGACTGGAAGACAAATTTAATAAAAAAAAACACATAGACATGTTTTAAATTTAACACACGCACGAGGTTTTCACGCTTTCTTTTTTACATTAGGGACTGTCTAAAAAAATAAAAAAAAGTTGAAGAGGAATTAAATTAGGACTATAGAGCAGATAAATCTTAGCAGACTGACAGTGATTTACAATTCAACAATTTTAACTCAGCAAACACCATCCCCAACATTAGCCATCACAAAGAACTATTTTCGCTTTCCATCGCTTGCTTTTTTTCTAAATTCGAAGTTGAAATTTTTTTGGGGGGTCCTATAAAGGTTAATTAATAACTTTCCCAGATGTTTTTTATGCGATGAGTAAAAGTTGACGGAAAAAATTTTTTTTTTCCATAAGCGAGAAGACTTAGAATTAATGATTTAAAATTATTTAAAATTGCCATGGTGATTTTCTAATTTTGTAGATCTGGGGTAGCATTTTTTTTTTTTATAGATTCGAAAGTATGGGGCACCCAGTGAGGATCGAAATCCCTTTTCAATCGCGATTAATCTAGCGAGACAAGTTTGCTAACCGTTACACCATATCGAAGCCCCATACATGATTTACTAAGCTTTAAATGTGGCACAGGGCCGAAAGTGCGGGCCACCCAGTGAGGATCAAATTCATTATTCAATCGTAATTGATCTAGCGAGACAAGATTGCGAACCATTTCACCACGTAGAAGTGGCCAGTAAATTTCTAAGCTATACTTAGATGTGGCACAAGGCCAAAAGGACGGGGCACCCAGTGAGGATCGAACTTACTATTCAGTCGAAATTGAAGCGTGACAAGCTTAAAATAAATTGTTGAATTGTCCAATGGTGAATTTTTTAAGCCCAAATTAGATGTGGCAAAAAAAATTTTGAATTTATGGAGCACCCAGTGAATTTATCTAACGAGACAAGTTCTTGACCATTGCACCAATCAAAGGTTTTCCGATTTTCTAATTTTAGATGAAGATGCGGCACAAGGCCGAATGTATGGAGCACCCAGTGAACAATCTTTGTTATGTGAAAATTGAACATATACACTCAATATATCAGACAATTTGTCCGTAGTTCATTTACTCAGTGGAAAAATTCTTTTGTGACGCGTTTCGTCTTTCAGAAGGCCTTCGTCAGAGTAAATGCTTTTAATGGTATCATTTTTTATATATGTAGTGGAAGGGGGACGAACTGCAAGAAAATCTCTGTTAAAATTATACACCGAAAGAAACGCTGAAATTACAGGGACGCCTAAATATAAATTTAAATTTTTTAAAAAAATTTGTTGTCTGAGCCTTCAATTTTAAAAAATTCGAATTCGTTCATTTCTCGTTGATCATTTTACAATGTCAACGAACACCGATTAAAAATTTGAAAATTTGCGTTGATTAAAAATCAACCATCGAGCCAGTTCATCATGTTTGGAAAGTAACTATTAGATCAAGAAAGTGTTATTATTTTTTTTTTTTAATCAGACACCATATTTCTTAACCATTTTTTTTTTGTTTTTGCTTTATTCGTTATCGATTTTTCTATTTATGAGACGTTGTATAAAATAAAACGCAACTAAACTACGACAAACTGACTCGATATCTGACTTGCATAGTAAAAGATTTTCATGGCAAGTTTTTTTTGAAATTTTTTCACCAATTTATGTCATCAAATTTTTTCTTAAAATAGCTTTATTTTTTTTTTTGATTTTGACAATATAAAAAATATTGTATGATATCTTTAACAAGAATTCAGTAAACTGTGCTGCATCTGACGTAAAAGCTGTTGTCCTATTATACCGGTTACCAAACACCGTGAGAGAATTAAGTCTGATTTGCTATTTAATCAACCGCTGGGAAAAATCACGTAAGAACATCTAAAAAAAAAAAAAGCAACACAGAAAACCTTTTTTTACCTTCCATCAGTATGGCTGATGTTAACCTCCAAATGAACAACTCACAGTGCCTTCTTGGTCTCACGTTTTCCACTGATAAGAAGTGGAATCAATTATTAGGTTTGCTTCTAGAAAAGTGTATCCACTGTGTTGTGTCATACATTTTTTCTGGCCAGAATTAATCTAACACATTTATAAATCTACCTTTCGCCGGTGCATTAAATATTTCTGTCATATCTGGCCTGGCGTAGATACTCGATAAAATTCAAAGGGGACAGTAAGTGCGACGCTGAGATCCGAACACGTATTGGGAAGGCCAAAGACGCATTCCAAAATCTAGGCAGAGTATTACGAGACAGGAGGATTTCGTTGGTAAAAAATAAAAGAGAATTCTGAGTTGCTACAATTTATCTGTCCTACTTTTACGACAGCAGATGTTTGGACGGTCTCCTCAAAAATTTTTTTTAGAGACTCGAGACAACAGAGGCATGGTTCTAAAGAAGGACGCTAAGGATATCATGGACCGAGCGTGTGAGAAACGATGTGGTTTTGGAGAGGATACAAATAAGGAGGAAGCTCATTCTTAACATCAGGAAGAGGCAGCTGGAATTTCTGGGACACGTAATGAGAACAGACGGCTTGGAGAATCTGATACTTACACGGCGAATATCGGGAAAGAGAGAGACAAAAGTTTGTATTTATTGATATACCTAGCGGGCTTTTAGGTGGATGACGGAACAGGGTCTGGGAGAAAAGAAGAAATGACAAAACATGTTGAGATATATAAGATGAAGAGGAATTCTGAAAGCCATGATCACTTAGGTCCTGAAGGGAAGGGTGATTATATATAAAATCGAATAGAGGAAAGAGAAGCAAGGGAAAGCAATGCTGACATATTAAATGGATAACAGATCAGGGTCTGGGAGAAATAGGAAATTTTGAAAAACATGTTGGGAGCTATATAGGGATAATTTAAGTGATATAGATGCTATAATTCGCCTACGTCCTGAAGGGACATGGCACATAAAGGTCGAATAGAGGGAAAGAGAAGCAAGGGAAAGCAATGCGTAACGTAGCGGGCTTAAGCAAGTGGGTGACAGAACAGGGTCTGGGAAATTTGGGAAGGGGACAAAACATGTTGAGAGCTACAAGGGATAGGGAGAAGTGGAGAGCCATGATCGCCTACGTCCTGAAGGGACATGGCACATAAAGGTCGAATAGAGGGAAAGAGAAGCAATAAAAGCAATGCGTATGTTAATAATAAAATTGGCTTAAGCAAGTGGGTGACAGAACAGAGTCTGGGAGAAATAGGAAAGGGACAAAACATGTTGAGAGCTACAAGGGATAGGGAGAAGTGGAGAGCCATGATCGCCTACGTCCTGAAGGGACACGGCACATAAAATATTATCGGTCGTGACCTGGCATATTGACTTCAGTCACTTTCACACCGCCGTGACGTTTTCTCTCCGTCTTTTCTATAAATATTTTTATATTTGTTCTGAGCTCTTCTCCTTGGTACCTCGACCATGTGATTTTAAGCGTACCACTAGATTGGCAACTAGGCCTCATCGTCTTAATGTTGAACTATGTAAATGTAACCGCAAGTTCTATTCTAATAGTTCCTTCTCTCGCCTGTCGAACTCTCTTCCGCTTTATTGCTTTCCTACCACCTGCGATCTTTCAAAAATTAATGATTTTTTTTTTCATTTACTCATCCGACATATTTTATCACTTTAAACGTTATTTTTAGTGGATACTCATATTTGAGTAGACGCCCCGTTTATTTATTAAACACTATATTTAATTTCGTCCATTGGCCTGAATATTCGAGAAATCTTATTAAAAAAAATATAGGCACAGTCCGGCATGATTCGAACTTATAATCATAACACAATCTGTCGCCTTAATAAATCTTATTAGCCCTTAATATTTTTAGATTCTGAGAATGTGTTTCGTTTGGAAGATAAAAAAAATGGTTTTAGTGATACAATTCTTGCTAATTAACCCATAGCTGGGGGGAGAAGAGGCAGATTCTTACCTTTCCCAAGAGTATTTGCGCTGAAGTGAATATAACGAACACAGCTGGAATTTGAACTCGACTCTCCGATTAACAATTCCGAGCCATTATCCATTACACCGTCCGCACATCCAAGCTTACAGCACCTGATATTCCCAAGCGGTCACCCATCTGGTTACTGATCAGGTTCGACGTGGCTTAACTTCGGTAATCGTACGGAAACCGGTATTTCAATTTGAGGTGGGCTTAAGCCGTAGTCGAAGAAAATGAAAACTCTGAATTGAGAAACGATTGGACGTGAGTCTAGCAACTGTTCTCAGTAAAAACAGGCTACAGAAACCTTAGCAGTAAAGTCTCGTATGGTGTCTACAAGGGAAAGTACAATTATTACTGTGACTATGACTACGAATAGTACTTTGTATTCTACTAGGCATTTATAGTCCCCAGTTTCCAAGCGATATTTGGTTTCTTTTCGTTCTTTTCAGTATAACCTTTCCTATTCCTTCGCCACCATATATTTAGTACTTTTCATTCCTTTTTTTGGCTAGTATTTTTCTCCTATTTTAATGCTACTTGGATTCTTTTTTTCACCTTTTTTCCTTTCGCTTGAATTTTATGCCATTTAGTGCATTCTCTTGAAAGGCGATTTTTTCATATAAGCAATAATTACGCCGATAAGGTGGAAGCCAACGTTAAAAAGTGGCTGAAAAACTTAAACTGCAGAAGACATTAAAAAACATCGAAGTTACAAGAGTTAACGAACTAAATGCATCTCCGATTTTTCGCGCTTTTTTTCTTTTTTTTACTATAATTTATTTTTTTAAGTAATACTTATTATTCAGTACTAACGTGAAGACAGCGGCGAAACTGAAGCTTATGCGAATTAAAACAGTTCGTTGGTCATATATATATATATATATATATATATATATATATATATATATATATATATTAAAAGACATTTTTATTTTTAACGTTCTCTTTATAGATACAAGTATTTAAAAGGAAATGCTCTGTTTATAATAAACAGTATTAAATAACATTTACCGGCCTGACATTTACATAAATAACATTTACGCTGACGTGCCTTTCACCGCTCGGCTACAAAGGAGCGGTCAAGGCACGTCAGCATAAATGACGGTTCCGTATTGGATGCAGGTTCGAATCCTGTCAAAGGACGAATATTTTCTATGAAAATTTCTCGGACATTCAGGCCGGTAAATGTTATTTATTACTGTTTATTATAAACAGAGCATTTACTTGTATCTATAAAAAGAACGTTAAACATAAAAATATCTTTAATAAATAAATTGTCGGACTTTGTCCATTTCCTTAATATATATATATATATATATATATATATATATATATATATATATATATATATATATATATATATATATTTTAAATGCATATCTTCATTCAAACACATGTTCCATTGAATTAATAGAGACATATTATGATTTAATTTTTATAATAACCCTTTCCAGCTCTCCCATCAGTTTCTTGGTGTTAATTTGAAATTCATGAATGAAGGAAAGTCCCGTAGTTTTTTCCTACCTAAGTACTTTCGATATCCTCCGAGATCAACCTCATGGGTTAATTACAAACTTAGAAAAGCATATATATATATAAACTTTCCCTGACGATCCGTTTAGGTGAAACCTAGGTAGGTTTGTCTGGCTCACTAGGTGTATCTAGGTCTGCTCTACGGTTGTATTGAGCTCTTTTGTTAGTTAGTTGTTACTCGTATCGGGGTTTTTTTTTTGGGCTTCAGACCTGCATCTGTGCGATTTTTTTGTCGGCAGAAGTTCATGTTTGTAGCTCTTTCTTTTTTTTAAAACCTTTTTTTTCCTCGAGATTGATTTGATTAGCAAATCAAAAATTCGAGGGTTTTTTCAAACGAGTCTAGTTATCTATATATATATATATATATATATATATATATATATATATATATATATATATATATATATATATATATAAAAAAATTAAAACACTAATATTCCATGGTCATAATTTATTCCATTGGAATCGTAAATATGATCCAATTCATCAGACCTACAAAATTCAAAAAGCAAAATTCAAATGTATGTATATATATTTATATATTTTTTCATATGTATGTTTATATTTACCACTAATATTATCTATCTATCTATCTATCTATCTATCTATCTATGTATCTCTTCTCTCTCTATATATATATATATATATATATATATATATATATATATATATATATATATATATTTTTAAAAAAGGAGGTCAATTAAATACGCGACCATGGTTTATACTTGACGGTCTATTCGGGTGATATTTTAAAATGACCACCTTAACGCTTTATTTCATAAAACCAAAAAGAACGCTACATAATTATCTTTCAGAAAATAGCAGGCTCATGATGATTGAAAGACAGGACATTGAGTGTAATGGAACGGAAGGGGAAAAGGTTGAAAAGAAAAGAATGGAAAGGAACGGGAATGCAAGTGTATTGTAGATGTATACAGTAAAGAAGTAAAGCAAATATGTAACTTAATTGTTATGGAGGGTGGGGAAGTTAGCGTGTCTAAAGAGTGACAACGGTGTTTTGAAATACATTTAATACTGTGTTTTCTGGTCGGATTCAAATCTGACCATTAACCTTTATATATATATATATATATATATATATATATATAGTTCGAATTCCAGTCGAATCCATTACATTCACTTACGTGCTAATACCCTGGGGAAAGGTGTGAATCCTCTTCTCCCTCCAGATATGGGTAAATAGCAGGACAGACTGGGTTCTATAGCCTTGGATGGCAACTGGTCTAGGAGAAGGACAACTCTGAATTTAAAACCTGCGGAGGGTCGTTTGGGGACCTTGTGGCACTTAGTGCCCCAGGTCTCTGAATTCGGCCCTTCAAAAAGTGTGGATGGCCCTGCACGAAACCTTCACCACTATAATCAAATCTCATGTGCCGCTGTCGGGCTATCGGTTTCCTGGGAATTGATCTGCTTAACCCTCATACGTCGAACTCGACGGGAGAGTAGACGACTATATATATATATACGCTAGCACTAATATGCAGTCTAACTTAGTACACATTATATTATTTTATATAAATATAAATATATATATATATAGTTAGGTAATTCATCGAGTCCAGAAGAAACCTCAACATAATGCACTTTCGTCCTATATTTGAGACTCATCAGCAGTGCGCAACCCCTATCGAGAATTGAAACCCGGACAGTTGCGATAAGAGGCATGCGCCATACCAACTGTACCAACGGCTCTCGGTGCGGAGGAGGTAACGAATTAGACTCGAAATAGCGCCGCTCCGTCAAAATTCCGTGATGGAACTTCTCCGAGTAAACTCTTTTACCCATAGGACTCTGCCCCCACGAGCTACGACTACTATCCCCAAGCCGCTCACTCCAGAGCGGAATTTGTGCTCGAGTCTAATTCGTTACCTCTTCATCACCGAGAACCCTTGGTACAGTTGGTATGGCGTTTGCCTCCTATGGAAACTGTCCGGGTTTCAATTCTGATGAGCCCCAAATATGTCCAGTGCTTTCTGCATTCTGTTGAGGTTTCTTCTTGACTTGTTTAATTACTTAATTATCTCAAATCCTCCTTAATTTCTATCATTTGTATATCCTTGCTTGAACCGGCTTCTAATGCTCTGGATGGAGCGGTTTGGTGATGGTAGTCGTGACTCTCGGAGGCACAGTCCTATGGTAAAGGGACTTGGATGAGTTCCACCACGGAATATGTGAACGAGCGGCGCAATATCGAGTCTAGTTCGCTACCTCTTCGTCACCGAGGCCCGTTAGTCCAGTTGGTATGACGTTTACCTGTCAATGTAGCTGTCCGGGTTTCAATTCTCATTAGTAGATGCATACTGCTGATAAGTCCCAAATATAGGACGAAACGGCCGTCCAGTGCTTTCTGCATTCTGTTGAGGTTTCCTCTAGACTCGATGAATTACTTAATTGTGATTATTTCAAATCATCCTAATTATCTCTATCTATATATATAATCTTGATTTTGGAACACACTTGCTTTCAACTTTGATCTTCAAAGATTTAAATGTCAATCGTCATTTTCGAACTTCTTAGTTCCTGTTCTTTTATTGTTCTCTTTCCTTAATAATGTTTTTTCATATTCTTGCACGCTCAGTAGGCCTTTGCATCTTAGTGGCTTTATTGCCTTGATTGGCGTGAAATGATTAAATATATATATTATCCGCCCTTTCGCCGTAACATCTTTATATAAGAGTCCAAATTTTTTTATTTTTTTATTTTTCTCGTACATATCTTGGGGTACAAGGCGACTATGTGTATAAGACGATCTCAAAGTTTCATGTTAAAATGGACGTTTCCAGCTATATTCGCCGTACAAGACGACCCCCACAAAAAAATCGTACTTCAAAATGTATTGTACTGAATTTATTAAATAAATTCATGAAGCATAGCTTTTATTTTCTCTCAAATTCTAATTTAAAAAAAAATGGTGGGGAGATATTGTCAGTTCGCTACCACAATTTACAATACCTCATGAGGTGTGTGTTGTTTTTCGGTGGGCTATTACGATAGCCTGAATAACTTTTCCGCGCTAACCATCCACTCGTTCAACTCTTCTCGAATGAGATCTTTAGACGGCTTGTTGAAGCACACATCCAGTTGTGTTTTTGTTCAACATCATTGAAATAAAGAGGCTAGATATTGTCAGTTAACTACGACAATCTACACTTACTCTTACCTCTATCATAATATTGTGAATTGTTTCAGTAGAAAATATATTATGTTGACAGTTACCAAGGCAGGGGGTTAGCCTACTGTCAAAAATCTCCCATTCTAACAACTTACCGTAAACCACAGGATTTAAAGTTTCACATTTGATACTTGGAGTATAAGACGGTCCCTATTTTCGTGCGTTTTAAAAGGTTGCTTTGTACGTCGACGTTTATGTATTTTGTTATTATGACTTGTTGGCATTTTTGGTACATTAGTGTTGTGACCAAGTAAGTGGTTAAAGAAATAACAAAACAAGTGTTACAGATATATCATATATTAAACAGTAAGTACAACAGAAGAGTATTACACGACTAGTGAGTGTGCGTCGAATGACCCAGCGTTCACTCTATTCGACTGTTCCCCCAAGGCCTTCTCTCCTACTAATTTTATAGTAGGCGGAAGAGTCCAACATAGACTCTTTAGAGGGAGGACACCACAACAATTATG